TGGCCAAAGAGAGTCTAAATCAATCCCAAAACATTAACTAGACTTAAAATTCTGCTAAAATCTTCTTTTGAATATACTCTGTATTAAATTATCATCCTAACAACACTTGGTATACACCAACTTAATTATATACCAATAATAGATTCATTGTTCAAAAAAGGGTTTGTGTTTTCTAATTTTTAAGTTCCGAATTCGGAGATTCATTTCTAATGAAGTGAGCTGTGTCCTAGACAAGCCGTGTGCCCACAACAGCTCACAAGTCACAAGTAGCCTTTTATTTCATACTCCCTCCGTTGCAAATATTTAGATTCATGTGCAAATATTTTGGATTGCACATCCTAAATATTTTGCACACTATAAATACATGTTCCCATAAAAATTACATTATCAGATTCATACTATTTTATTTTTCGTTTTATTTTTTCGTTTATCAACTCTGATGCACTGTCAACAAAAATGTTCTAGCAACACATTTTGGTAAAGCAGCTTCTTTTGCTTTTTTTTTCTTTTTTTATTTGGTGTTTGTTGCTTATTCATTTTTCAATTTTTTTCTTTTCTTATTCTTCGGTTTTTATTTTTAGTTTTAAATTTTTTAAAAATTTATTTTTATAACTTTTTTTAATTTTTAAGTTTTTTAATTATTTTTCAAGATGTCATTTGACATAACAGAATGATTTCCTTGAAATTTGTACTAATTTAATTATATTTTATACAAATTTAAACAATTAGATGACATGTTAATTTGATATTTAATTCTATTTGAATTTAAATTTATACTTTAATTCTATTAAATTTATATTCTTTATATTTTAGATAAATGATTGGCCGTGCAACACACGGGTATAAAATCTAGTGTGTGTATGTATGTGTGTGTGTGTCTATATATATAACAGTAACATTTTAAAGAAAAAAAGAAGAAAGGCCTATTTGGGAATAACGTTAGAGATTAGCGTTAGTGTTTTGAAAAGGCTATCTACGACCAGCGTTTAGCGTTAGCGTTTTCAAAGTAATTTACACCGTTAAAATTTTATCCAAAACGCTAACGCTAATCTCTAACGCTATTCCTAAACAAGTCCGAAAGAAAGCAGAATAAATAAGCTTTGAGTGATAAAGAACGTGGATTCGTAGTTTTAATGGCTTAAATGCCAAGTTTGTGTTTGACCATATTCACAAATTTGACTCGATATGTTTTGGATTTAGATACTCTGTATTCTTGTATTGTCACCTCACTGCCACGTGTCCGCTCGTGGAGGGCTCTACTATCAGGGCGCACGATAGAGTAAAGACACTAAAATGTGTCTCCACTTGTAAATTTGACACCTTCGGCTATCGTTCATTCGTTTGTTTCTTCGGTACAAACGTCAGTCATTGTTTGACGTGGCTTTTGACGGATATGGAATGCCAAGTTATGTTTAGGAAACATACAAATTTCTTTGTAGTCTGATCGACATTTATTTTAAAGAAAGGTGGGATGTCACTCTGAGCGTTCTCAGATTCTGGTCCAATAGTATTGTGAATGAAGTAAATCATGGTATAATCTCAATCTGGTTCTTAGAAAAGTCATATTGTGCCTAGCACACAGTCTACACACATGGAGCTATTACAAATAATAGACTCCCACACAACTGCTGGCGGAATTCGACCATATAATCAACATGATTGACATATTCTCCTTGGACCAGTTGAGCTATCCATGCGAGCGACATTTATTTAAAAAAAGGATGAGCCTCATTTCCAAAGGTCCCATTAGATCGGTTAAACGATAACTGAGAGGAAGTAAATTAGACTTTGATCACAGATTGGACATTTATTGTAAGGTTAATAGTTTTGGTGTCCCTCGAAATTTATAATAGGTGTTGGAACACATTTTAAGATAGCATTATACTAAAGTAATGTTCTGTTATTGGCATGTTTTGATAAATGCCAAACCGTCGAGGATATGAAGAAACCTCATTGAACATCTCAAGGAAAAGAACAAAGCTTGGCACAAGACACAATGGAACCAAGAACAAAGACCAAGACGATGACTTAGGATTGAGTTGGTCCTATTGTGATCAAGACCGACATTAGGTTTCAACTCTTAACTCTCGAAAACTAAAACATGGTTTTACAAAATTATCAAATCATTTTCATGCATCATTATTAAAACACTTTTTACAAATGTTTTTAAATTCCAAAAACACTTGGTTATCACCCAAACTAAAAGTACTACATTCAGCGTTCGGCGTCCGATGTTCGGTTTTTAGCGTTGGTTTTCGGCATTGTTTTTCACTATTCAAATCAACCAAGTGGCTTTTAACTTTTTATGATTGGGTTTCACTTCTGGACATAATTAAATGGTTTTCCAATAAAAACTTTCTAAAAAAACCTTTGGTTTTTAGTCTTTGATCAAAAACATAAAAATCGGCTTTAACTTGGTGACTCGTGGTTTTCACCTAGATGACGTGGTTTTTAAGATTTTATACTTGGTTTCTTAATAAAATACATTAAATAAGTGTTTTCCACACTTGGTTTTTAATTTGGAAAACTTTGAGTTTTAACATCGACTTTCGGTGCTAACTGCCCAAACCATGGTTCTGGTGACCAAGACCCAAAAACGATGTTGTAACCCCAACAATGTTGTTTTGGCCAAGCCCGGAAAATTCCAACTTTGGCAGTAGGTTCTACAAAAACGATACTGGAGTAATAACATCGATGTTTGGCCAGGCCTGAAGCAATCTTGATTTTTTTGGTAGTAGGTTTTCTAACAATGATTTAGACCATGCTACATCGATGTTAGCGCCTAAGCTTTCTTTGGCAGTAGAGTTCAGAACATCGATGTTTAATGTAGAACATCAATGTTGCCTTCTGACCATTGGAAGAAATTTAAGACAAAATCTTTCCTTCCTTAGAAGTCAACACTCTCAATAGTGATGTTGCCTCTACAACATTGATGTTAAGGTGACCGTTTGAAACTTCAAATGAAAAGTCAAAGCAAAAAAATCAATGTTCAGTACTTGAACATCGATGTTGGGCCTATTTTCAGTAGATCAACTTTTGATTTAATTTGCACAAATCAACTCCAATCTTCTCCTAGCGTTGTGGCTCATTTTTGGTCAAAAAGGGGTCTCTTGGGTATACTTTACCGCACAATTTGTAACACCTCAACCTGCATAACTCGAATACATGAGTTAGCGAACTAAATTGCTACTAATCTAGTATCCAAACACATAATATTTTCAAAACAACTTAAAACATCCAAACCGTTCTTATAATAAAATTCATCATCAGAGTGAAAATCCAAATAGTGCGGAAGATTAATTTATTTTAACAAACACAACTTGGGACTCACGCCCAAAGACGTAATAAATTATTTAGATAGGGTGATTAGTTCTAGATCCTCAATCAAATCAACTCGCATCTCTTCATCCTCATTGTCCTCCGGGATCGGCTCTAGGTTCATCATGTCCTTGATTACCTATGTGTAGCAAACAAACAAAACTACACGTTCAGCAATGACGTTGAGTGAGAAATATCTAACGTCAAAGTAAATAATCAAGCGAATCCACAATTCATAATAATTATGTGACATCATGCAATCAACACACAAATCACATATATGATTCAACGCATAATTTATCTGGAACTTTCCCATTACCATTCTCATCAAACCCGTGGATTCTTCGAGGTTGGTGGATCACCAAGAACATGTTCATATAACCTGTTCTAGACTAAGGACTACTACTTATTTTTGGAGTCATGATTGTTCCCACTAGATCAGCGGGTCATGCTCAATAAATGAAGGTGTCCTCTGTTGGATGCGTGGAATCCCCACCTGATAGATTACAAAACAATTCAAGAACACCCGTCCGTACAATGCACTTTGAGAATATTATATAGAACTTATTTATTACTAGAATATTGAATATATCATTTAGAACTTATTTATTACTCCGTAATACAATTTGATGAAAAGACTAAAATGCATTTTGAGAATATTTTAATTTATTGAATACTTTTTATATTTAAAATTTATTAAATTATATGAAACCGGCCGGTCCGGGTCTTCTTGTTTCTAAATATTACAAACTGACCCAACTTGTTTTTCTAGAGGACCCGTCCTGGCTCGGCTTGTTTCAAATATAAAACTTTGGACCTAGCCCTAACTCGCCTTGAACCATGCGGTTCGGTTCTGACTCGCAGTTTCAGGACTCGTTTGTCCACCCCTAGGTATCGCTAGTACTGACACTCTCAAAAAATCTCAGTCCTAGTTGTGGTATGACCAAACGAGTAGAGGCAAGCAGTGTATATAAAATAACCCATAGGTTTATGTTGGAGGTCGGGATTTCTTGTGGTGGGCTGACTAATATAAATTGTATACCCTCCAGAGTTCAAAGTTTAAGACAAGTTGAAGTGGTCTAATGGCAACCACTCCACACAGATTCTTTCCACAAAAGGTCTTGAGTTCGAGTCATTCCACCAACAAAAGGGTACTCTCACCTATTTATGGATATGAGAATTAGACTCTATTTTCGTAGGTATCACTAGTACCAAACGAGTAGGGGCAAGCGGTGTATACTAATTCGTAAGTCCAAGTTGAGGTCGGGGTTTCTTGTGGTGGGATCGGTTAGTACAAATAGTTTACCCTCTAAAGTTTGTAGGTGGACGTTGTGTATTGGTAAGGTAAGTAGTGCACATGAGATAACACTCAAGTACGATATTTGTCAATTGTCTTGAGAGGTACTTATGCTAAGTATAAAATCTCTGTTAAAATAAGCACCGAGTACTACATTAAAACCTAATTTACCATCCAACTAATTTTGAGAGTCCTCCTATGTTCTTCCTTGTTTTTTTCCACGGAGCGGCGAATAAATCTTTCCTTCCAGCCCTCCCATAGACCCATTTCCGTCTGCAGGCTGTTGAAGCTGCGTTCCTGTGTTCACATTTCCATTTCTTTATTTTTTATCCCCACTGTCTTTTCCGCTTTTCTCTCTCTCTCTCTCTTTCATCTTCTCCGCCAGTTCATCACACATTCACACCTTTCCACAATCATTAGATTTACTGTAATCGTTGAATTCTCCATTTCCTCTCGCTGAAAGTGCGATCGATCGATTCCCCCTCTCCCCCCGTGTTTGTGTGGGCACGGGGAGCTTCCGGTCCGGTGATTTCACTTGCGGCGGCTCCTGAGAGAATGCGAATCCGATTTCTACGCCTTTGGAGCTCTTGGCCTTCTTTCATGCACGACTCGAGTGGGGAAATGAAGATTTAAAGCCTTTTCTTTTAGCTCTAAAAGCTACTCCACTTTTTCTTTTTGTGTTTGTATTTGTGAGTGATCAACTTCACGGCTCCGTTCCACATTGCGGCGGAAATAGGTTAGGGTTCTTCTTTTGGAGCTAGGGTTTCTTCGAGGTGAAATTTGCATCTAAAAGGAAAGTAAAAAAGCACTCTCCTGTTCTGATTTCCGGATCTCGATCATATTGAGATATACGGCATTGTTTCAGTATATCGTTGGGGGGTTTAGGGTTCTGAAAGGAGAGAATTGAGAAGGACTCCTCCCCTAATCCCAGCTTTGGTTCGGCTGCGACTGGCTATGAGGTTAGGGGGTCTGATTTTGAGGTGTTTTCAGTCACCAAAAAGGGAAAAGGGTTCCTAAACTTGCGACTTTTACAACTGTTCAAAGCACTGGATCGCCTCTCTTTAATTATTATCTGTTGAGAATTCTTCTTTTTTGGCATTTAGAATCAGATTCTTCTACGAACATTCTGAATTTGAAGCCCTAAAGCTGGTCAACCGTGATTGTGAAGCTTCTTCATCAGTTGATGCAATCCTAATTAGCCGCTCCAGTCAAGATTTCATTTCTCTGGCTATTGGATTATACTCTGAAGTATCGATGGGGCTTCTGGGAGGTCAATGGATCGCTCTGCTCATATGGGTTTTATGGTTGCCACAGTTAGGCAGGACTCAGCCATCTGCTTCCGCTCGGGCACTAGATTCACTTCTCCAAGACTATGCTTTTCGTGATGCATTTGGTCCGCGTCCCAAGACTGGTGTGGTTTATGACGGAACTGTCCCTTCGAATCTGACAGGGATTAAGGTTTCTGCACTGAGGCTTAGGAGTGGTAGCTTACGCAGGAGAAACATAACTTTCAAAGAGTTTCAGATGCCAGTTGGTGTCATAGGGTACCCTTATGTCGTAAGGCTTGCCTTAGTCTATCAGAACTTGGGCAATTGGTCTCTCAAGTGTTACCCTCTATCATCTGGGTACATTTACTTATCACCAGTTCTTGGTCTTCTTGCTTATGATGCGGCAAACCTGTCGGCCACTAACTTGCCAGAGTTGAATATCACAGCAACTGGTCAGCCCATCTCTATATCCTTTCCCAAGATGAAGTCCGTTCCCGGTAAATCCATTCCAAAGTGTGTGTCAATTGATCTGAACGGCTCTGTTAGTTTCAGCAATGTGTTGTCTGGAAACATATGTAACACCTTCAAACAAGGACATTTCTCGATTGTGGTTGAATCCATTGCTCCTTCTCCTGCACCAATGTCTTCTTCTTCTTCACCAATGCCGCCACCTGAAGGAGCTCCTCCTAAGCAAGCAAAACAAGCGCCAGGCCACAATAAGACAAGAAAGGTCGGGATCATAGTGGGGTCCGTGGTTGGAGGGTTGGTGGTTTTGGTTTTGTTAGGTGCTCTTACGGCGTGGGCGTGCAGTTACAAAAGGAAGAAGAAGATGCAAGAGATGGAAATGGCTTCCGAGGTGGGGGAAGGGTTACATATGGTGAGGGCCGGGAACACAAAAGCACCTGCTGCTGCTGTAACAAGAACCCAACCGATACTGGAGACCGAATACGTCCCTTAAGTACATCATCATCGCCACCCTTTCACGTTCAAGTTTCATTCACACAGATGAATTCTTATTTGACTCCATTTTGTTGGTTTATTCATATTATTTTTTTATTTATCAAGGTAGGTTTTGGTTGGTAGTGGCGTGTGGGTATTACAGAGAGGGTTATTGTGTACATAATAATCATCTGTTGCCTTCCACAAAGTGTTCAGATTTGTTTTCTGGTGTGCGTTTAGGCTTTACTACCTCCCCAGTTTGACTATATATATTTGTGATCATTCTTACCCTCCCACCCCATTGAGAAGGAATAAAATTTGTCATTCTCCCTTTGCAAATTGTTAAAGGTATGTTTTATATATATAGCATCTTTTTCCCAGGTTAGTTATTACTACCTGGTTATTCACAATCTGTGGACTTTATTTTATTACAGAGTACTTTTTTTGTGTGTATGTGATACATATATCTGTCGTGTGTGATGAACTGATGAATTGCAACCCATGTGGTGGACGTTAGGAAAGCAAGACAAGAATATTGCTACAAGGCGTGAATGTTTGGGCTGTTTGGGATATTTTAGTTAAAAAAAAAGGAGGAATTCCATCTCCGAGGGTGTTTCAAAACAGGCGGTCACTTCACGTGGTAGTTGCAGAGGTTTTATGTTTAACATGTTTGCTTCCCAACGGAGTTGTCATGAATCGAATTCGGAGTCGTGAATTAAATTTAGGAATTACTTCCTTTATTCTCTGGTCACTCTTTGTCAATTGTGCAACGTCCGCGATGCTAAAATTTTGGTTGAAGGGTTGTGAGATGATGACTTTAATTTATAACTTATATGCTCTCTCCCGTACACGATTATTTTGTGTGCACATTAATAGGAACTTGGAAAACTCACAATCCTTGTCTAGTCACAATCATCAAATTATGATCATGTGGCAACTTGGAAGTGACAAATAAGTTTGCATTCTTACTTCTTTTTTTTTCCTTCTTTTGGAGAAATGAGTTCTTAGTTCTTAACTTCTTACCATTGCACAACCCCTTTTCCCAATATCTCTCATTACTCAATCAACTTGTGGAGAAGCTCAAGAAGATGGTGAGATGATTGGCCACAAACATTTCTTACTCCAAAATTTAGAAACACAAATAGTAACTTGACAATCAATAATGTTCATTTCAAAATTCAGGTGTGAATAGTAACTTGACAATTGATAACGTTCATTTCGAAATTGGGTCGGAATAGTAACTTTCAATCGATAACGTTCATTTCAAAATTTGCGTGTGAATAGTAACTTAGCAATCGATAACGTCCATTACGAATTTGGGTGTGAATAGTACCTTGACAATCGATAAATGTTCGTTTCGAATTCGGGTGTGAATAGTAACTTGACAATCGATAACGTTGATTTCAAATTCGGGTGTGAATAGTAACTTGACAATCGTTAGCATTCATTTCGGAATTCCGGCGATTCTAATGTGACAAGCACATTTAGTTTGTCATGTTAACTCACATGGAAGCCATAAATGTCTTTGACTCGTCATCTCATCCCGGCTTCTTCTAAAGTACCATCTTTGCAGTCGTTACGGGAGTCTTTTGTAATTATCATTTATTTATTGAAAGAGAAGAGACGCGAGGGGCTTTTTTGTAATTATCATTTATTTAAAAAAAGGTGCAGTTAATGTTTTAGGACATCTTTCAAGATGGATTGTCATGACCATTTTGTTACAATGCTCAACAGCACAAACCAAATCACAAAACAAAAGGAAAAAAAAAATACATCAAAGCAATTGAGAATGGCAAAGCGCATTTTTGTTTCCACGCACGCTGGTAACGCTACCTGTGAGATCATAAGAGAAATGTAAGTTTCTATGAAGCAAACAAATGAAGACAAAAAATGTTTTTATCTGATGTTTCAACGTGTTTGCATCGTATTCAATTTGGGATTGATGTAAAACATATTCCTAAAACTGACCATCAAATCTTATCGACAATCTTTTGTTTAACCTATCCATAATGTTGATGATTTTGCACGAGAACATGCTGGTTTTACATGTAAGAGATTGTAAGAAATGAAGACTTGATAGTACGCTGCCTTGCATGCGATGGTAATTTTGAGGAATAAGTCACAACAATTAGATGTCATTATAGAGCATAAACACACAAAAAGGTAATCCTTAAAGAATCTATCGATATCACACTATAGAACAACAACAAAAATTCAGTTGGATCCCACAAAAATAGGGTGTGGGATGTGTGTGTACACAGATCTTACCCTACTTGAAACAGCACAGCTTTTTGGTTAAAGACCATATGAAGTATGTATGAGCTAAGCTACTATGAATCTCTGTCTTGAACAACAATGTCACATTGGTGAACTCATTACACACTCTCTCTCTCTCTCTCTCTCAAACACATACACAATTTCGGCCACAAAAAACTGACATTTCTGAATAAGCATGCCGGATCAAACCCAAAACCTTTTTTTATGGGACAGAGGGAGTATATTTTTTAAACGAGAGTCATTTAAAATTTGTTAAAGCATTAATTAGTTTGCTCAGCATTTACCCTTGTTCACCTAAAACAAAAATAAATTATGAAAGCTAATGTGATATAGTAGAAAGACAAATTTGAATATTCATATCGATCTTGCCTTCTATGGACCTGAATGTTGGGCAATGAAGAAATCAAGAAAGTTTTAATAAATAACTTGAGGGAGAAGAACTTCTCCCTTGGCTTGAGTGGTAGGAAGCCCATACCCCAAGATTCATGGGGAACCTCACCCAGGTTCGAACGTGCATCATTAGGTTGAGAAAAGTATTGTAATAGTCAATAGCACTAAAAAAACTTGAGTGAGGAGATGCACGTAAAATGGTGGATGTATGGTAACACTAGAAAAGATAGAGTGCACAGCGAAAAAATGTACAGGAAGGTTATGTAGCTGCTATTGGAGTTAAATTAAGGAGAACCAATTCGTTGGTTCAGGCTTGTCAGTTGCCGAGAAGTACCTCAATATGAAGAGTGGAGTCTAAAATTGTGGGAGGCTTAAAGAGGAAAAGAAAAATCGACATAGATCAAAAATTACTTGGATTGAGGGTGTAAAGGACATCACAGCATTGGGGATTAATGAGCTTATGCTGCGTGAGAGAAAAGAAAGGAAAAAAAGTCAATGGATGATGTTGAAATATTTTCTATTCGTTCAGGAACTAGACCCCCATGAATTGAGTTTATGGTGTTGTTATGTTCAGTTTTTTTAATACTTATTTCTGGTTTATTTTACTCAGACAAGACCAGACCAAACCAAAAAGCATTTAAGTCCATCAGACCTGATCATATCTGGCCTGATAAAAGAGGTCTAAACCAGATCATAACATATTTAAAAAATCGTACAAGAAAATTAAACAAGATTAGAGACATTTCAGATCAAACAGAATCTGATTGGACAAAATTATAAAAAAATTCAGAGACCAAGTCCTAAGGGTTGTTTTTGTGTTCTTGTAGTGCACGTGTAACACTTATTTAGAAGTGGAAAGAGTATATAGTACGACGCAAAGTTGAAAAAGGCTATGTAGGTGAAAAATAAACAAAACAAAAAAAGCCTTGGTGGAAGTGGGCCTAAAAATCAATCATAAATTGTTTAGAACTTATCATAGATGTGGGTAGCAGAAGTGGGTATGGGGTAGGTGAAGTTTCACCTAGAGCAATTCTCAATTGTCATCCATCCAAAATCACCTAAAATTTGCAAATTTGACAGCTCTATCCATGGAAAATGTTTATTATATGACTCCAAACGCCAACCTTCTTCAATGCACACTAAATGAAGCAGTTAGCTTTTTCGCCCTTCAATAAAGAATAGTAACTTCTTGTTTACCAACATACCTACGCAGCCAAGAACGAACTCATTGCCAACACAGTACCTTTTCAAGAATGTGCATCCTCTCCAGAATAATTGAAACAAATTGTGTATTTGTGTCAAAGATACGATCAATAAACACCATAAGCTAAGCATATCACTACCTGAAATTCTATCCTACAATCATAGTTACAAGAATATTGTACTTCCACTACGAATTAGAGTGATCAATTTTTTCTGTGTTTTGAGCATATAACTTTTCTTTAGTGTGTAATAGTATTGCAATTAGGGAGCAACTTATTTGTGGTCACTGAGCAATAGTTTTTATTAGGTGAGTAAATTGTTTCTAATTAGTGAATACATAAGTATTAGTTGAAAAACAGTTGTATGATATTCTTATACCTAGGGTAGTACGGTTTAAGAAATCAGCACCAAGCAGTCCAAATTTCAAGTAAAAGAACATTTCAAAAATTTAAAGTTGTTTACCACTTTACCTTACACTCAAATTGAAAGATCATCTAAGAAAGAGATAATAGATGGCATACTTGTCACATTATATAGTGTGGCAGATCTCATTAATGTTTCACCACAATGGTGATGATATTGGTGAACCTATCTCCTATCTGCAACAAGACTCTTGAAAGTTGCAAAACTAAAAAGAATGCCAGTGTGACATGTTATTAACGGAAAATTTCCATTGGACTTTGAAGTTTGAAGTTTACTCAAAACCAACAACAACCAAGTTGAATCCCTCGAGAGGAGGGTTTGAGGGGGGGTGTGTATGCATACCTTACCCCCACTAAAAAGTAGGGAGGTTGTTTCCAAGAGACAACACAGTTAGAATGATACATTAATTTTCACAAATAGTGAGCCTTCATGCAACATTTGTTTTGCTCATTTATGTCCGGAATTCTGGATTGTTACAGGTTTTAATACAGAAACAACCTCTTTGCATAAACAAGGGAGAAGCACATGCAATGACCTTCTGTCTTTCCCCATACCCTTGCGAGGAGAGAACCTTTCTAGCACTATAAATTAAATTGTACATCCGGATGTGCATACACCGAGTGATATTTTTGTCGAACTTAGATGATATGATCATTATTCCTCTAAAGAATGTTCATTTCCTTAAGTATTTTTTATGTTTATATCTTTTAATCTACTCATTTCCTTTCTAAGTTAGGAAGCTCATTCGAATATGAAGACTACTCAATTAGCTTTTGAGAAGTTCTCATTTACAAATGTTTGATTTACTATCATCAAAGTACATCTTTGTGGATCATACGCCTATTCTTCTAGCACCAGGTACAATACTACAGTCATTTACAAAATTTAAGGTCGGAGCATGTGGGTGAATTTTCCATTGTCAACCATTTTTCCCATTCAATTCACCTAATTTGTACATTTTGCAGCTAATAGCATGATTACATCCTACAAGAACTACACTACAACACTTCATTCAAAATTGAGCCATGGCATCAATGCCTTTACTCATTGCTGCCTGATATGGATTAACAGTACACAGATCATCCTCCACAAAACCAGCTTAATAGACATGATCATTACTCCTCATTACCTTTACTCATTGATGATATAATCATTATTCCTCTAGAGAATGTCCATTCCCTTGAGTTTGTGTTTATATTTATTATTCTACTCATTTTCCTTTTAAGTAAGAAAGCTTATTCGAATTTGCAGAATGTTCATTGCCTCATTCCGATGTGCAGAATGCTCATTTGAATTTGAGGAACGATCGTTTCTCTTTTGAGAAAATCTCATTTACAAATGTTGGATGTACTAAAATCAAATTACATCTGTGTGTTTTATGTGCCAATTGTTCCAACACCGGGAGTATATGGGTAAATTTTCCATGGTGAAACATTTTTCCCGTTCAATTCACCTAATTTTTACATTTTTCAGCTGATAATAGCATGATATCATCCTACAAGAACTACACTACAACACTTCATTCAAAATTGAGCCATTGCATCAATGCCTTTACTCATTGCTGCCTGATATTGGATTAATAGTACACAGATCATCCTCCACAAAACCAGCTTAATAGAAACAGATCTGGTTTCAAGTCAAATCAAATCAAATCAAACCCTAAACTTTGACCACATAAATAAGAAGTCGAAATTCATCCTCCTTTGTATCCAATAAACACATATCAGTAGTAAAAGATAAGATAGATTAGGGAAAAGAAATAAATTACCAGACCGGAACAGCAAACGAAGCTAATCAGAGGAAGGAGCAGCAGAGAGGATCTCCATGAGCTTCTTGTCACGCCTTTCCATCGCTACATCCCAAACATCATTTCCTATGTGTTTAGGCTGTAACGTTACCGAATCACACAATCCAGCAGAAAAAAAAAAGAAATAAGCGAATCAAGAAAAATAAATGAATTCAAAGGAAAGAGCTTCGATCGAAGAAGAAATGTACCCGGCCATGGTAGGCTTTGTGGACAAAATATTGGACGTTTCCTGCAATGCAGAGCATGCCGGCAATGATTCCTAAAGGCAGAACCGCCTCCAACCAAGCAAGCGCCATTTCTTCAACCTTAGCTTTCCTCCCTCGATTCAGTAAAGAGTGCAGACGTGACAAACAATGAAGAAGATGCTTTTTAGAGTTTCAACTCACAATGGGCCTAAAAACATTGGGCTTAGCATATTTATGGGCTAAAATAAATATGAAATAGTCCTTCAACTTTATGAATTGTGCACGATTGGTCCTTCAAGTTTCAAATTCCATAAATAGTCCTTCAACTTTATGAGTTGTGCAAGATTGGTCTTTTAAGTTTCAAAAATTCATAGGTAGTCCTTCAGGTACACGTCAGACCTCTAGATGAAGTCTGTTTGACAATAAATATTAAAAGTTAAACGAAATACTAATTTCATATAATACGAGTAAATTTCACTAGGTACGACTACTCCGTATTATATGAAGCTAGTATTCCATTTAGCTTTTAACATTTACTGTCAAAAGGACCTCATCTAGAGAACTAACTTGTACTTGAAGGACTACTTATGGACTTTTAAAACTTGAAGGACCAATCGTGCATAACTCATAAAGTTGAAGGACTATTTATGGACTTTTAAAACTTGAAGGACCAATCATGTACAACTGATAAAGTTGAAGGACCAAAGGTGGAGTTTAGCCCATATCTATCTGAACCTTGTTGATCTTGTAAGATAGATTTTTAGTGTCCCTTTGATATACGAAATTGACGGAAATAGAATCGAATTAAGAGTTGAAATTTCATGGAAACGAATTCCCTAAGGCCCCGTTTGGTACACGGAATTCAAAGTATGGAATTGGAATTGGGAACTTCAATTCCAATTCTGATGTTTGGTAACACAAAAATAATGTGGATTTGGAATTGATAGTGCAAAAAATGAATTGGAATTGGTGAATTCAATTCTGTGGAATTGAGTTCCATAGAATTTCAATTCCAATTCAATTCCAATTTCATCAATTCCATATACTAACCGGACCCTAATTCCAATTCACTTTTTTGCACTACTAATTCCAAATTCATATACTTTTGTGCTACCAAAGAGCAGAATTGAAATTGTTGTCCACAACTCTAATCTCATAATTTGATTCGTGTACCAAACCGAGTCTTATACTATTTAACCCAACACATTACTCACAATATGGCTCAGCTTATCGAAAGAAAACATAAAGAGGGTAACACCCGGTTTCAGGTCTTGACAACGGTGACAAAGAATGATTATATTATGCATTGAATTCTTGTTTGTATTGAGAACAGATCTCACTTCTTGACGATTAATATGAAGTTATAGTTTAATTTACTTCTTCTAATTTTACTAATCTAGACGATACTTGAGATCCTCATGGATGAGATTCATCTTTTTTGTTAAACTAACTAATAAGGCCGATTCTAAAGAGCTTAAGACCTTGTGTGTTAGTGGTGTATTGAGTTGTATGCTATGAGGTTCTTTTTTATTTGAGTAACAAACTTGTGAGTAATACTTTTTTGTCCCAAAAAATACTTTTAGTTATTATTCATTAGTAAAATAAAATTTATATTTTATACTTTTCCATCGATCATTTGATAAAACAAAATAACTTAGTCATTACATGTTTTGTAGATTTTTTTATGGTGCTTCTATTAGAATATAAAAAAACTTATCGTGGGCCAAGACTACAAGCATTGTGATGGTCCCCGCGGATGTTAATGCAATATGATTCCTGCTCAATGCTTTGAGTGTCAAAGTACGGACAAGGGGGATTCGTCTGTTTATTTAAAACAAATCATTGTGATGGTTTCTGCGGATGTTAACACAATTTGATTTCTATCCAATGCTCTGAATGTCAAAGAGGAGTCCTAGTGTTTAATTAAAACAAATCATTGTGATGGTCACTGCGGATGTTAACATGAGGTGATTTCTGTCTAGTGCTCTACATGTCAAAGGGGAATCTGAATGTTTAATTAAAACAAAGCATTGCAATGGTCCATATGAATGTTAACGCAATGTGATTTCTGCATAGTGCTCTGAATGTCTAAAGGGAATCCGACTCTTTAATTAAAACAAAGCATTGCGAAATGAAAAACCAACTCAAAATTGGTATAGACAAGGGGAATCTGATTGTTTAATTCAAACACAGCATTGCAATGATCCTCGTGGACGTTAACAAAATGTGATTTCTTTCAGTGTTCTGACTGTCAAAGGGGAATATGAATCTTTCGTTAAAACAAAGCATTGTGATGGCCTTGCAGATGTTAACACAATGTGATTTCTACCCAGTGCTGAAAGTCAAATGAAAAAACAACTCTAAATTGGTACGGACAAGCGATATCTGATTGTTTAATTAAAACAAATCAATGCAATGGTCCCTACAAATCTTAACACGATGTGATTTCTGCCGAGTATTGAATATCAAATGAACAACCAACTCAACTAAAAGCTCAAGCTGGTCGTTGTGGCTCAAAAAATGATTTTTATATTATAACAGTTTTTATATTTTAACAGTTCCTTTGTGTTTATAAGCTAGTCAAAACTGGTTTTAAAATATTTTCATGTATAAGTCTGCTGATGACATTTTTCTCTGTGCTTATAAGCTAGGAAAAATAAGTAGGTACTAGCTTTAAGCTAGTTTTAAGCTAGTTTTTTCATTTCTCCATTAAACCAGATTATTTAAAAAATTATCCATCATATTTTAAAATCCTCAAATGAATTACATATTATAACACTTCAACTCGCATAACCCGAATACAATGGATTAGCGGGTCGATTTGCTACTAAATCGGTATCCACAAACAGTATGTTAGAAACAACAATTTAAAAACTATATTACAAATAATATAATCTAAAACATTTTCAAAACATTATCAAATATTATCAGAGATTTCATAATAGTGCAGAAGCTTACGTAAATAAATATCATTATTTCATCATTACCAAAATTCATTCATTCAAAACTCTATTTAACTGATCAATAGTTTGAGCCCACATCCATACATCCCATTCATCTTGCTGCTTCTCAGGGAACATTCCATCTTTAACATAAATCACACCTGCGTGTATCAAATAAAACATACTATACGCTTAGTGGTTAAGCTGAGGAGGATATTTTATGCGTCAAACATACACACAGATAGAATCTCAATTCACAACCAAATCGAATGATATTATGCAAGCAAGATGCAGTTTCAATCATTCATCGTCACACAGTTTGTAACACCCCAATCTGTCGAGGTCTGTAGCCCCTTTTGGACTGAAGCATAAACTTGGTAATCGTAAACATTCAAAACATTTCAAACATTTTCAAACTTTATTTCGTAATAAATTATTCAGAATAGTATCAGAGTATTTAAAGTTGCTGAAGCGTAAATAGAAATGTCACATCACAATAACAAATGATTAATTTATGTCTTTTAAAATATTAATTCAAAGTTATCACATCCTTCTAGACAATCTCGGCCCATCTACCACTAGGAATATAATACATCACATCATTCTCTTTGTTTTCCTGCATGTAGCAAATAAAACATACTACACACTAAACCGTGAAGCTAAGTAAGGATGTCTAATGCATGAACATCCACATAAACTGAATCTCAATTTATAATCAAATCACTTGATATCATGCACATAATATTCAATTCAGATAGTTAATATTCATGATAATGATAGAGTTTAGTTCATATTAGATCATTGAATATGTAACGCCCCAACACATGCCATAAAATTATTAATGAAATACTATTCAATTAAACAAATTTGTTTTGATTAAAATAAATTATTGTTGGGCTTTGGCCGAAACGAAATATGTTTTGATATCCAATATCACATTCTGGATAAATCTCATAAAGATAAATCTAATATGTTGATTATTTGTATAATCTTGATTGTAAACCAAAGTACAGACCCAAATTAAGAATAAACAAAGAATTTGTTTATGATATGAACTTTGAAATGATTTATTGAAATAAATCATGAGAATAAATAATATAAATTGGATGTAAGAACCTTTTTGAATAAAGGTCAAATAAATCAATTTTGACTCTGTCAAAGTCAAACAACCAAAAATATGTTTTTGGGAAAAGTATTACAAATAAATATAAAAATTATATCATTGGATAGAGTTTAAACGTCCGATTGCAACGGTGCAAACGTAATTCAATTCGGAAAAAGTTAGACAAAAAAGTATGCCCCGACTGGGACCAAAATTAGTCCCATTCAAGGAACGGTGTGTGAAATCCTACAAATTGGCCGTCCTGCGCACTACAACCATTATCAAATGCGGAATTGGAATCCTGAGTCAGACCTCTTACTGGTTCAGCACTTAATGGTTCAGACCTCTTACTAGTTCAGCACTTACCTATTCAGAAGTTGCCAAACAGCTCCTAAGTCTTCTTCTTTACCTCAACTACTATATAAGGAGAGCTAACTTCGCATTTCTTCACCATTTTACTCCAAATAAGTGCTGATAGATAACTATGAGTGTGGAGATTTCATTGGTGCTGTTTATTTGGTGAGAGGTTGCCGGATGATGGATACCCTGGAATGGGGGTATCTGGCCCAACAGAAATAGCGGCCCAACCCAGCCAAGCTTAGGCCCACCTAGCTGGCGAAGATGAGAAGAAACTAAAGTCTCAAGAGGGCCGCTGCTGCGTCATGATACACTCGGCCCCGGCAGACACACTTGGCCTCAGACCACCCTCGGCCGGCCTTTCGTAAGGGGACTTCAAGAAGCAGATCACGTGTACTCGTCCTCGGCCTAAGATGCCGCTGGACCAGGAGCACTGGCATGGAACTGCCTAACCAATCAAATCAAGGGGCCCACGATTGGATCCCTGCCACACTTCCATCAGAGTAGTTTTAGCCACCTTACTTGTAACCTATTTTTGTATAGCTGCCCTAGGGGAAATGATGCAGTTGGAGCAGCCAATGGACAACCAAATCTTGGCGGGCCCGATCTGTTGGACTCTGAACCAATGGTCGGAAGCCCCGTCTGTAATTTGTATATAAGTCCTTTCTTAAGAGAAAGGGGGACACGTTCTCTTGCACACTAATACTTACGATCTTACTTGATTCCCGACTTGTGCACTCTCGACTCAGTTCGATACTCTTTTGCTTAGTCTCCTAGGCCCCGGGTTCCTTAACCCAACACCGGAGTTGGGAGTTATCGTTGTAACACCCCCCGACTCGCAAACCTGGTTCGTCTTTACTCGATGGGCTGGAGAAGTCACAGAGATGGTATTAAAGACAATTCAAATAAAGACTTTGATAAAACACTTTTAAAATAAAGACCTGATTTGGGTTTATATAAAATCCTTGGGATTAATTCTGTATACATTTAATAAAACCCCATAGCCATAATTTAATAAATAAAATCCTCCTAAGTGAGGTCCTTATCATGTTTGTGAGTAAAGACCTTGTTATGTTGTAAATAATGACCTTGGGAAGTGAATCCCTTAAAACATACGGAGTAAATGAAACGATGTGGTCGCAGAAGCAAAAACCACCAAAATAAGTACAGTTCACGAAATAGAATACGACAAGTGTGGGTTCAAGCCCAAATGATTTAATTTAGTAATATTGAGGAAGTCATATTAAAACCACCTACGCTGTCTGCACATCTCCTCACTCTTGTGTCCCTCCTAGATAGGCTCCAGGTTCATCATGCCTACTTGCGTATAGCAAAGACAACACTATACGCTTAGCATAAGCTGAGTGGTAATCCAGCAATAGAAACATAGTAATAATCCATATAGGTACAAACATGTTCATACCTGTACTGAACGTAAAAAAATTCATATAATGACCACATGTCGTGATTAAGCCTGTATTTGAAGTACGTAAATATCATAACGACCAAATGGTTCACATATTGACCAAATATTCCATGCATGTACTTAAAGTACGGATAACTCATAATGTCTACATGATGGATGATGCATGAGCTAGACTATGCGGGGACCCCCTGCACTCCGACGTCATCCCACAACGGTGACGACTCGGACGAACTTTAGTCTCTTGACGAGACTAGAAATAATGGATGGAAACCGAAACCTAGTTACCATGTACGTACACAAGCCTTCCAAATGAAACCCGTTAGACCAGAAGGCTGCTGGACGGGCCCGCTATAAGAGGCGCACTAGGCATGTCCTCTTAAATGGATATACCATGATATGAATGATTCCTATATCATGCGTCTATAACATGCCTGACTTATGACCTCAAAGACTTTATTTCAAAAATTAAGTCTTGGTTTCTAATCCATATACCAACATTCAAATATTGGTTTTTACTTTGGAACACTTTGATTTTTGGACCTTACAGAAGGTTCAATAGTAACTGATAATTGATTATCACTTGGTGATAATGGATTATCAAGGTTCAACAGCACCTGATAATTGATTATCACTTGGTGATAATTAATTATCAAGCTTGGGTAGTTTTTGAGCCCAAAGTTCAGCAGTATCTGATAGTCGATTATCACTTCATGATAATCGATTATCAAGGCCTCTACTGCCAAACCCAAGAAATTCAGTGAGGTTAGATAGTCGATTATCAGAACTTGATAATCGATTATCACGGTACTCAGGTTTTGCTTTGGGTCTATCTAATTACGTTCAACCTTTTGAAAATAATAATGAACATTCAAGATTAAAATATATCTATATATGTAATAACTATTCATTCCAACGGATTGATAGGTGATTTCTTTTTAACGAGTTTCATCCCACATATCTTTTATAATGAGAAAACTACGATCATTCGAATTCAACGTAGGTTATGCCAAGTAATCCTACGAATGTAACTTTATTGAATGTAATTATAAATTCTAAAGCTAGAGGGGCAATGTACTCACCTCTAGAATGAACAGTTGATTGACGAAGGTGGTACGAATGGCGCTACATCCCACGGATGTTCAACGCACGGACTACTCTATCACTTCGAGCTTCCTTTGTCAAATCTTCTCAACGATACCTTCCAGAGGTTCTTAATAACCATTAGAGAGTTTATGGCAAGTGGTTTGAACAAAATGATATGGTTATGGGAAGAATACTAGCCAAACCCGAGAGACTCATCACCGCTGACACAGTCCTGGTATTTTGGTCATATCGCTCTCGTTTCTTAATGAAATCGCGAACCGTTTGTTGCGTTGAATTTGTAAGAAACGAGGCTATAACTTTGATGTAGAAAGAGGTTCAAAATAATGAAGATATAATATTGAAATGTTACCCACAAGCTGACTGATATGTTTGAACTCAAGAACTTAGGCAACAGATGAACTTTTTTGTTCCTTCTTCCTCCTCTTCTCGTCCTTCTCCTTCTTTCTCTTTGCCGGAGGTCTATCGTGGTCTCTGGGCTGCTACTGCTCGTCCAAACCAAGAGAGAAAAGGAAGAGTGGTGAGTTGGATGGTTGCTTGATGGAGTGATTAAGGAGTGAAGGAAAAGATGGGAGGAGGGAGTGTTTGTAATAAAGGTGATTGGTGAAGAAACCTAGGCTAAGGAGAGAGGGGAGTGGCGTGTAACACATGTGGGAAATGGGTGGAGTTTCTAAGGCTACTTCATAATAAAATTGACCTGAACGGTACACACTTTTTCTCCCAAACTGCTCTGAATCGAAAACCGTTTGTGTTTATGGAATCAGAAAGTCAAAACTTCAAATAATTTTTCTAAGAATTTTTATTTTTCCTAACTCTGGTCCGTATTAATAATTAATTTATTCCAATAGGCCGGGTTGCAAGGTGTTACAATCATCGCCGGAAGTTTCACCGAAAAACTACCGAAACCTCTATTTAAGCCCGAGGTAAGCCCTTAGATATATCTAGCGACTAGAATGTTCGTATAGATCGTATCTACGTTCATAAACGGTTGCTTGAAGAACCAAAAATCATAAACCTTGAAATTGTTGTTAAAACTATAAAACAATGATACTAAAGTGATCTACGAACCTTGGAGAACAATTCTATATAATTTCATTAAAGTTTGGTAACCTAAAATAAAGTTGGAGAAAAGTGGCTGAAGGTAGGAGACGATTGAACAATAATTTTTTCGCAGAACACCTTCGGATGATCGATCACAGGGGGTGGATCGATCACCAGCCCTAGATCGATCACATGAGTTTATTGATCCGAATACTTTTCCGAAAATGCTATTTTGGAGCTCTAAAATCCTATTTTTGATACCAATCAATTATGATCAATATAAATATGATTTTAGAAATAAATATGATTTTTTTGACAAATAAAATCTTATGTGATGTATGACGGTAAGCTAGAGTGTTAACACTCGACGCTGGGCCACTATTTGTTATTGGATATTATGATGATTATTATTGATTGATGACTATGATGAATATTATTGATTAATGATTATGATGATTAAACTTTGAAGAATATTCTGAAAAAGATGATGATTATGAATTGTTGAACTATGATTCAAAATAAATGGATTGATGAGAAATAAATTGTATTGTTAGAATACCTCTAAGATAGACCTCATATGAGAATGGGCCTTGCGGGTATAAATATGAATATTCAGTGGCCTTGGGAAAAACGTACGTATGGGATCCGCAAACCAAACTTGAGGATCACTCATTTGGGGATACCACCCAACCCGCAGTGAGCATTCTGCTGTTCGATTTCAGGTTGTGCCTTAAGCGAAGGCTAGTTTAAGAGTTGGAAAACCTTTATAAAAATTGTACCTTAAAGTAGCATAGCCTAAGAGTTGGTTAGGAGTACCTTAAACTATAATTAGTTTAAGAGTTGGTAAACATTAAAGAAATTGGCCTTAGACTAAGAATAGTTTAAGGATATTGTTGATGAATGTTGAATATGAATACGAGTATTGAATGTTGAGTATTGATTATTGAATGTCTGAACTGAACATTATGTGCATGATATCCAATGATTTGATTATGAATTGATATTTAATTTATATGGATGTTCGATGCATTAGATATCCTTACTCAGCTTCAACGCTGAATGTGCAATATGTTTTATTTGCTACACGCAGATAAACAAAAAGAATGAAGTGATGAATTTTTGGAGGTAGATGGGGCGAGATGGCCGGGATGGATGTGTGAATTTGAATTACTGTTCTAAAAGACATAAATTTATTATGTTTGTAATTATGATTTATTAAGCTTCTGCAACTTTAAATACTCCGTTTTTATTCTGAATACTTTATCATGAAATAAAGTTTTTAAATGTTTGAAATAATTTATATGTTTACGAATACCAAGTTTATACTTTAGTCTAAAAGAGGCTGCAGACCTAGACGCATTAGGGTGTTACATAATATCAACTCATATATTCAATTCAGATATTCGAACGGGTAATTTACCTAAATAGGACTAAAACATAATGACTTTCTCAAAAAAGGACCATATGTTTTTTTCTAATGTAAGACCGTTGGTCATTATCTATTAGTCATTATTCAACTAAATATCCAGCATCACATTATTCTTCTCACTAGTCATTATTAAGTCCTATTTAGGGAATAAAAAAGTTTAAATCCTATATAGGGAAATAACTTATGTTTTAGTTATATTCAGTGCAAATTTCACTATTCGATATTCGTTATTTCAAGATTCTTTGTATGTCATAGGTTAAGACATTTCAATATTCAATATTCATTAAATATCACTTATGATATTATCCACAATACTCTAGAACTATTTTTAGTTTTAGGCCAAATTAATAATAAGACTCTTAGATTATTTTTAATCTAAGGCAAAATGAATAACCATACTCTTAAACTAATCTAGTTTAACGCAAAATGAATAACCAGACTCTTAAACTATAATAAGTTTTAAGACAAATTAATATTGATAACCAGACGCTTAAATTATGACTAATTTAAGGCAGGAATCTGAACAACGGACTACTCACTCTCGTATTGGGTGGTACCCCCAAATGAATAGATACTCAAGTTTGGTCACAAAGCCTAACTAATTTGGTCACATGTGGTCTATCTTAGAGTTCTTTTAGATAGACTTAATCATTAGTTTAACACATTAGTTTCATATTTGTAATAACTCAATATACCTTCAAAATCAGATTTTTCAGTGCTAGAACAGCTCGTGGTGATCGACCATTGCCGTCGGATGGTCAACCATTATCGTGGAACGATCGACCATTACTGCCACCGTGTAACTGGGCTTGGAACCATGGACTTTTACCATTGGCAGTTGACCTTTCATGTAGCAATCCAGAACGCAAACTGGTTGCGTGACGGTCGACCGTTCTGTAATTGGTCATCTTCATTCTCGGTCTAATTTTTGAAAACACCATTTTAGGCTACCAAAATTTAATTAAACCACGTAGAAATGTTCTCAATATTCATAGATCATTTATATATCATCAATTTGAAGTTTTAAGAATAATTCGAAGGTTTATGGTTTTTGGTTCATCAAGAGTAGACCTGGCAAAACTGACCCAGACCTGATAACCCGAACCGAATAACCCGGAACAAAACCCGAATTGACCTGAAAACTGAAGAACCGAAATAGAACCAAACACCCGAAATGATCCAAACTGAACCGAAACCGAACCGAATGTATTCAAACGCGATTTAGATCCAAATCCGATTTAGCCCGAACCGATTAAACCCAAACTGGTTAAACCCGAAACCGATTAAACCCGGAACCGATTAGACCCAAAACCGATTAGACCCAAAATTGATCAAATCTATTAATATTTCATTTATCAAATGAACATGGAGAAAAATAAATTACCGATATATTTTTACATATGTTGATGTGTTTCTAAGAAAATAAATTTAAATTATAGGTGCAAACCGTGCAACTACTTTCATGTACAAATCTTTTACTCCGTGTTTTATAACTTAAGTTAAAGTATTTTTGTATTTTATCGTCTTCGAATTTAAAGCTTGACCAATATCGTCTCTTCAAAAATATTAGAAAGAATATTAAAAATAATACACTTAAAGTGTTTTTTATTACTAACAATTTGGTAATAACTTTTACTCTGTATATTTTAATTCATTATATATTTTTATATATAGTTATTCAAATATTTGACACACAAAGTGAAATGGATAGTTAAATAGAAATAGAGGAAGTATGAAATAGAATGTTAACTTAAAAGGTCGCGCCGAAAACTTCAGGAGGGAAAACTTTAGAATGTAAACAATTAATCAATTATGTAAGTGTTATTTTTTATGTACGTCCATGTTAAATAATAAAATAACTACGGCGTATATCATAAATTGACTAAATTTATTATGTTATATTATTGATTTATTAGTATATATTTAAAATATACCTGAACTGATTTAAACTACCTAAAACGATACAAACCTGAATCGATATAAATCCGAACCGATACAAATCCGAACCGATATAAACCCGAATCGATACAAACCCGAACCGAAACGAAAAACAAGTCAAACCAAAATAAACCCGAAACCGAACTGACCCAAACCGCACCGCGGCCTGTTGCAATGGGCGGCCGGTACAATGGAGACTAAATAATTAAAAAAAATTAAATTTGATCTAGCGCAACGGGCCATCACAATGGACGACAACCCGTCCAAAATCGCAGGGTTTCGGGACGGGTTGAATATCCACCGGTCACTTCGGAATGGTTTGGAACAATGTGCACCTAATTTCTCTAGAGAGTTCCTTGAAAGAAAGGAACAGACTTCGATTGAACCATAAACAAAAAGAGAAATCGAAATTATGGAGAAAGAAACAATCTTTGATTGAAACAATAGGAAGTACCCGCAAAGATAAGCTTTCTTGATGAGTAACAGAGCATTCCGGCATGGCCCGATCAGCCGGAAACAGTGGTTTATCTGCCTCCACCGCCGCCACTTGGCGGCTTCACAGCGGCCGCCAGCACTCTTTTCCGCCAAAAGCAGTTACATCCCATACTCTACTGTTAAAGAAAAACGGTCGGGAGTCCAGCTAAGCGGAGATTGGGGAATACTGTATTTTTCTTCTAGTCTAGTTGGAGTATATTCTTGTACCCAATCATAATGATAGTATAATCATATATATACTGTGTATTATTTTAGGAATATACGACAATAATTAGTATTATTATTAATAATTATTTATACAATTTTAACCGTCAGAAAAGAAGAGATTTTTGCTTCCTTTTTATGATTTCACAGACCCTCTCTCTGCCCTTTTTTATTTAAACCCTTTTCAAGGGTGGTTCCACTCTGTCTCTCTCTTCTCTCTCTCTCTTTCTCTCCTTTTCCTTCGTTTTATGATTTTTTTAATCATATTTTTTCTTTAGCTGCTGCTTCTGCGGCGGCTAAACCCTAATCGGTGCTTTGTAAAAGCCATGTCAGGATATAATCTGAACTTTTCTCCTGCAAGATCTGTGTCTCCACAGATTAGGAATGCCCTTGATGTCGACAGGTATGATCTCGATTTTTTTTAAGTTTCTGTTTTCTTGTTTTATAAAGTTTTTTGCTTTATATATAATTTTATGCTACTACCCAGAGGTATCTTCCATTTCTTGGATTGGATTTCTGGCTGTTGATGTGCTATGTTATGTGGGTCTTGATTCTTTTTTTGTGGGTGGAAATTTTTCTTAGTAATCAGTACTTGTCAGAGCTGCTGGCGGAGCATCAAAAGCTTGGACCTTTCACTCAAGTTCTCCCAATATGTACCAGGCTTTTGAGTCAAGGTGACATTTTATAGGCTTCTCCTTGTTTTCCCTGTTTTGGATCTATTTTTTCTGGGTTTAACTGCAATTTGGGCATTGATTGTTACTGTTTTTTGTTAACCCCGATTCACAGGCGATGTATTTTTTACTGATGAATATCAGGGGTTCAAGTTTTTAATCTCGGTCTGTTATAATTTATTTACATGCTGTGCCTTCGATGGATAAAATGGCATTCCTGGTGAAAATGGGGCAAATTTTAGTTGTTGTTCAATCTCCGTTTCTAGTGTTGCTAACTGGATTTGCAACATGTCTGCGACAAAAGACTTGTGTACTTTGAAAGTGATGGTATTTTATACAGAGATTTTGATTGGATGGCCTCGTCTAAGATGGCATTTTATAGATTTTGTCATTCATTTATGTGAATTGAAACTATGCCTGTTATTTGTGTGTGGAATGCTAATAGTTTAGCCTTTGAAAGGCTTGGGTGGTTTAGTGGTTAGTAGTTTGAGAGTGTGTCTATTACAACATTCTATCATAATTTTTGAAAAGATTTATTCAAACAGATGTTAACTGGCACCTTTTTTGTAATGCATTCTCTTGAAAAGATTCTTTACATATTATCTTAACTTTTACCATTGTTTTTCTTCTAATCATTCCCCCCCCCCCCCCC